CGTCGCTGAAATGCAGCCTGCGCAGCGGGTCGAGAATCCATCGCTCGGCGTCGGGGACTTCGGCCGCCTCCGCGGCCGAGGGGGGGGCGGCCGCCGACCGCCCGGGCCCGGCGTGGCCGCGGGCGCATTCGAACGCCAATGCGAACCTCCCCCCCTGCCCCCCTCCTCGCCCCCCTCCTCCGCCGTCGCCCTTCCCCGCCGGCGGGAGAGCCGATGTTTCAGAGGCGGGCGGATTTCCATGGCCTGGGCTGGCTTCTGGCCCCCCCGGAGAACAGAGAAGGCTTTGGCCAGCCAGTCCGGAGAGGCATTCCTGCCCACTTTCCTGAGGCCCGACATCCAATGCAAGTGGAAGGTGCAAGAAGCGCGCAGTCACCGCGCGTTTCACCGCACCCCCCCGGCGCAGAAAAAAAGGAGGATGGGGGGGGAGAGGGCGGGGGGGCGTGGAAAAGGGAGCATGATGCAACGTTGTTGTCTAGCGGCTGATCCGCCTCGCGGTTTACCCGTTTGTTTCGCCGCGTTTCTTGCCCGCCGCGCAGCCGCTCGCTGAATTCATGAGGAACTCACCCGCGATCAAGCGCCATGGAAAAGCGGGCGCTATGTCGAGCTCGCACAACGCGTCAACAGCGAGCAAATTCAGTCGAAGATCGCGCGCGCCATCTGTCGCGCCGCCCAAGCCACGGCGCTCTGCAAGGCGATGCGATCGCGCGATCGCTCAACGTTATCTACATGGCACAGACATTACAAATATACTAAGACCATATCACAAAACACACCACACTACACACATACAACTGATGCGACTTACTCGCAGTGTCCTGAGACGCAGGCGCCCCGAACTCCCGTGATCACGCGCAAGCAGTACTCCGCACATCGATTTTCGCAGGCAGCTTGGAATGGAGCGCGGCAGCTTCGAGCGCCTTCTTGACAAGCCCACCCACTTCGTCTACGGAGGTAGTTACTTCACACATGCCCCTCTCGACGTGGACCTTTTGTAAACTCAGCGTGGACCTTCTCGAGCTCCTTGGCCTTTTCTTGGCAGGCTCGATGCCGTTATTCGGCAAATGGATCGTCATCTTATCCTCGCGGTCAGCCTGGAGTTCATCTCCAGCGCCCTGGTTCGCGGGCGGCCACCCTGGTTTCCGGCAGCGGGCGCGGGGTTCCCACAGCGTCAGCAGTCGCCTGCCCCCAAAAAGCCCGTCCTCCTTGTCGGCGGCGCCACGCCAGCGCCCTCCGACTCGCTGAACAAGTCTGACCCTGTCACTGCGAACTTGGGCGCCCGAGTTATCCGGGGTAACTCGGGTCCGGGGTAACTCGGGTTTGGATTCCCGAAAAACGAACCCGAGTTATCCCTGACCCGAGTTACCCCTGATGATGTGGGGCTCTGACGAACATGCCGTCTCGAGCCTGCGTGTCCCCTCCCTCCTTGACCCGGCCGGCATCCGGCTCGGCGTCGGGCTCCGCAGCAGCACCGCTCCTGCTGTCGGCCGTGTCTCGGCGGCCAGCCCAGGGGGGAAAATAAGAGGGGGCGCGGGCCTTCTCGGAAGGCTCGGACGTCCTCCCGCCTTCCTGAATTTGCCCCGGCGACGCAAAACCTTCTGAGAGGGCCGGAGCTTCTGAGAAGCCGCGCCGCCCTCTGAGAAGGCCTCCTCCTTCTCACTTCGCCTCCTCGCTCGCAGCCGGACGTTGCTGGAGGCCCGCTGCCCCCGGCTAGATGAGCCGCCCCGGGCTGGGCCGTGGGCGCTGGCTCAAAAATGGCCTCGGAGCACCCCGAAAAGAGCACCCAAGAGGCCAACATCCGACAACAACCGAAAGCAAATCACGGTTGGCTTTCCGAGGAGTCAAGATGGGTCCGAGATGGCCCCAAGAGAGGCCCAAAAGCGACCAAGAACGTCCAAGGAGCGCCCCAAGAGGACTCCAAGAGGCGACGTGGGGGGCTCTCGAGGGGCGGGGGGGGGCAAGTAAGGCTTCCACCTGCTTTGAGCGACCTCCTCCAAGATGGCCTCAAGAGGGCCCCAAGGGCTCCCAAGAGAGCCCCAAGAGGCCCCCAAGAGGCCCCCAAGAAACCCCGATAGGCCTCCCAAAAAGCCCCCAAGAGACTCCGAGAGGCATCCAAGATGCCTCTGGCCTTCTGCTCCCCCTCATCATCCTCCTCATCTGCCTATCCCTGCTCCTTCTCCCCCCTCCGCCTCCTCCTCGTTCTCCTCCTCTTCCTCTTCCCCTCCCACCTCCTCATCCTCATCCATTATCCGCTTTCTCTCTGAAATGTAACAGCTGCCTTCTTCCTGCCCTTATCTGATCACCTCAATTCTCCTGGGCGGCGTTTCTGGATGGGCCCGCATGGATCCGCGAAGCGCCAACAGCTGACCTGACTCGGGCTGCGCAACTGCGCTGGCGCGGCGGCGCGGTTTGCCGCAAGCATCTATCTTGCGATTATCCGATGTTCAATACTGTTGTTGTTGATGTTGCTCGTAGCAGTACTCATACTAACACGTATCGTGTTACCCATCCTCACCACAACAATGATTGTCCTATGCCCCTATGCCCCCCTCACAATCAGATTCCTCTTCATCAGACTCATACTCAGGTACACCGTTCTCAAAAGTATGTTCCTCGTCGACAGAATGAAAGTCCCCATCTCCAGATTCATTCTTTTCGCCGTCACCATCACCAGCATCCTCATCCCCATCAACACAATCATCATCACCACCATGATCACCATGATCACCATCATCAGTATCCTCATCCTCCTTATCCGAATCATCCTCAATATCACCACCAGCATCCAGTTCTTCATCGCCATAACCAGCAATCACCCCTAACCATCACCATCAACATCATCATCACCATCACCACCATCATCGTCATCGTCATCATCATCACCATCCTCAACCTCACGCACATCATCGTCATCGTCATCATCATCACCATCACCATCCGAACGCAAGTATCGCCATCATCATCATAGTCACCGCCAGCTTCACCATCAGCATCGCCATCAACATCATCATCACAGCCATCATCAACATCAGTATCGTCATTCTCATCATCATCACCGTCACCACCATCATCACTACCACCAACCACCACCACCATAAACATCATCATCACCGACATCACCATCATCATAATCATCACCATCATCATCATCACCATCATCATCATCACCACCACCCGCACCATCATCATCACCATTATCACCACCATCATCATCACTGACCATCACCATCACCACCATCATCATGCTCATCACCGCCATCACCACCACCATCATCACCACCACAACCATCACCATCGTCGTTATCATCATTACCACCACCACCATGATCATCATCACCATCACCACCACCATCAACGCAACCATCAACTTCATCATCACCACAACCATCATCATCATCATCATCCTTACCAACAGCATCACCACCACCACCACCACCTCATCATCATCATCATCATCATCATCATCATCATCACCGTCATCATCATCATCACTGCCACCACCATCATCATGACCACTACCATGATCATCACCACCACTATCATCATGATCATCACCACCAACACCATCATCATTACCACCACCATCATCATTATCGTCATCATCAGCATCATCACCACCACCATCATCATCATCATCATCATCCACCATCATCACCACCACCATCATCACCATCACCACCATTATCACCATTATCACCACCATCATCATCACCATCACCATCGTCGTCATTATTATCATCATGATCATGATCATGATCATGGTCATGATCCTCAGCACCACTATCATCACTACCACCACCATCATCATCATCACCACCATCATCATCATCGCCGACACCATCATGTTCATCACCTCCACCACCACCAACATCATCATCACCACCACCATCATCATCATCATCATCATCATAGTCATTATCACCACAATCATCATCATTATCACCACCACCGTCATCAAATCACCACCACCATCAACACCACCATCCACTTCTTCATCACCACAACCATCATCATCATCATCATCATCATCATCATCATCATATCCTTACCAACATCATCACAACCACCACATCATCATGATCATCATCACCGTCATCATCATCATCATCACTGCCACCACCATCATCAAGACCACTAGCATGATCATCACCACCACTATCATCATCATCATCACCACCAACACCATCATCATTACCACCACCATCATCATTATCGTCATCATCAGCATCATCACCACCACCATCATCATCATCACCACCATCATCACCACCACCATCATCACCATCACCACCATCATCACCATCATCACCACCATCATCATCACCATCACCATCGTCGTCATTGTTATCATCATGATCATGATCATGATCATGGTCATGATCCTCAGCAACACTATCATCACTACCAAAACCATCACCATCATCACCACCATCATCATCATCGCCGACACCATCATGTTCATCACTTCCACCACCACCAACATCATCATCACCACCATCATCATCATCATCGTCACCATTATCACCACCATCATCATTATCACCACCACCATCATCAGATCACCTCTACCATCATCACCACCACTACCATCATCACCACCATCATCACCATCAACATCGCCATCTTCACCATCACCAACATGATCATGATCATGATCATGATAATGATCATAATCATAATGATCATCATCATCATCACCACCACCACCACCATCATCATCATCATCATCGTCATCGCCATCGTCATCGTCATCAACATCAGCATCATGATCATCATCGTCGTCGTCATCGTCGTCACGAGAAGCATTACCACCATTACCATTCCCAGCACAACCACCATCGCTCCCGTCCCTCCACTCTGGACACGCCCACGCGGGCCTTCTCGTGAGGAGGAGGGGGAGGAGGAGGAGGGGGAGGAGGAGGAGGGCGAGGAGGAGGAGGAGTGGGAGGGGGGAGCGGACTGAGGCCGGGGAGGAGCGGCAGGCCCCCCCCCCCCCCGCGCTCCTCGCGACTCGGGCCTCCTCCCTCGGGGCAGGGCCCCCCGGCAGCCGCGGGCGCGGGCTCCGCGGGCTCCCCCAGGAGACGGGCGGCCAGGCTGCGGGCGTCGACCGGGGGGGGCCTGTCCTGGCGAGGGTCCGGGTGCCCAATGCTTCAACCCCCTCCAGCTCAACCTCCGCCTCCACCTCCACCTCCAACTCCTCCCCGTCCTCCTCCTCCAACTCCTCCCCGTCCTCCTCCTCCTCCTCCTCCTCCTCCTCTTCTCATCATCATCATCATCATCTCCTCCTCCTCCTCCTCCTCCTCTCCTCCTCCTCCCTCCTCCTCCTCCTCCTCCTCATCATCATCATCATCATCATCATCATCATCATCATCATCATCATCATCATCATCATCATCATCATCATCATCATCATCATCATCATCTTAAGCCTCCTCCTCCTTCTTCTTCTCCTTATCATCATCAGCAGCATCAGCATCGCCATCCTCATCCTCAGCATCATCATCAACATACTCATACTCATAATCATAACCATAACCACAGCCAACATTATTATCATCATCACCACCACCGTCATGATCATGATCATAATCATGATCATGATCATGATCATGCTCATCATCATCATCATCATCATCATCACCACCACCACCACCACCATCATCATCATCATCATCATCAGCATCATCATCATCATCATCATCATCATCTTTTTCATCACCATCATGATCATCATCATCATCATCATCATCATCATCAGCATCATCATCGCCATGAACAACAACAACATCATCGTCATCCCTTCTTCCTCCATCCGTTTTCCTGATAAATAACTCCTCTCTGGCGCACTCCTGGGCGCGTCAGTGGGGCGGGCCAAGCATTTCGCCGGAGATTCGTCACAACTTATGATCCTGAGTCTTTGGAAGAGGAGAAGGGGGAGGGGGAGAGGGAGAAGGAGTAGGAGGAGGAGATGGGGGAGGAGGAGGAGGAGGGGAGGAGGAAGGGGAGGCGGAGGAGGAGGAGGAGGAGAAAGTGAGGAGGAGGAGGAGGAAGAGGAGGGCCCCGCCTTAGCAAAGGTGTCCGGACTACGGGGAGGGGCGCGCAGCGCCGTAGCGCTCACATGGGAATGTCGAGGAAGTCATCTTCAACAGCAGACCGCTGCTCAGCAGACAAGGCAGAAGAAACCAAATGTCATGCCCTGCATCAATTCCTTTTGATTGTAGATAGTCGCAAATGTCGTCGGCCCACCGCTTGTGCGGACGATTCGGGAGCCTGCCTTTCGCTCGTCTGTTCCTGCTGGCGTCGCACGTGCGAGCTCGCAATGACCATGGGTGCGGCGGCAGTCGTGGTAGCGGTCGTGGTGGAGGTCGGCGTCGGAGGAGTCGTCGCGGTGGGGGTCGTGGCGGCGGCATGGTGGTGCTGCCGGCCGCAGTCCTGCTGGCGCTGGCAGCGCCTGCAGTGCTGGCAGGTAGGCCCCTGGGCGCTGCCGACAAGGCGCTGGGGCGGCATCTCCGCGCCGCCGGCTTGCGGGCACCAGCTGATCTGCCTCCATGGCGTTCCGACCACCTTGGCTCGCCCAGCGTGGGCCACACGACCAAAGAAGAAACTCGACGGCCCCCCCGACTATGAGTAGGTTACGCTCCAATCCCACGTGCGCAGGCTGCCCTGTGTTGGGGTCTGGTGCGCAGACGTTCATCTTCGCATGGTACCCAGTGAGGCTGGTGAGCACGGGCGCATGTAGTCCCGCATGCTGTCGTGACGATCTGTGCGGGATCCACCGACTGGGCTCGCCCACATCCCTCCATCTCCTCCACATCTTCCTCCTCCCCCTCCCGCCAAAGCTCTGGAAGGTCCCAGAAAGGACAGGCACCCGCGAACGCGAACCATGGGCCAGCCAGAACTGCTCATCAGATCGCCGCCCCTTCCCCTTGCCCAGCCAGCCAGAACTGCTCGTCAGATCGCCGCCCCTTCCCCTTGCCTGGCCCCGTCCTCCCTTCGACCCGCTCCCCCTCCCCAGCCATCCCCGCCATCCCCGCCCCCCCTCACTCGGGGATGGACAGACCCCCCTTTAGTAAAACGTGGTTTGGTGAAAACGACCTGAGGCCCAAACCTGGCGGGCGCAAGCCTGGAAAATAACGGCCACGGCGCCCTCTCGAGAACCGAAAACGGACAATTCACTAATCGACGTGTCACTGTTGGGGGTTCTGTCCACCCCCGACTCGCCGCTTCTCCCGACACCCCAGCCCCAGGTCCCCGGTCACCCCTGTCCGCTTCCCCTTCCCACCTGCCCCGCGGCTCCCCCCTCCCGCCTCCGCCTGATCCTCCCCCCTCCTCCTCCTCCTCCTCCTCCTCCTCCTCCTCCTCCTCCTCCTCCTCCCCTCCTCCTCCTCCTCCTCCTCCTCCCCTCCTCCTCCTCCTCCTCCCTCCTCTCCTCCTCCTCCTCCTCCTCCTCCTCCTCCTCTCCTCCTCCTCCTCTCCTCCTCCTCCCTCCTCCTCCTCCTCCTCCTCCTCCTCCTCCTCCTCCTCCTCCTCCTCCTCCTCCTCCTCCTCCTCCTCCTCGCCCTGCCTTTCTCCGACCATTCCCCCCTTCTTGCGTTGCGGCCGGCTCTAGCACAGAAGCACGTCCTTCAAGAACACGAGACCCTCCGCCGGCCACACACATAACATCCGAGTGCCCTCCACAGGATGTGCAAGAACATCCAGCTCGCCATCGCTCGGACGTCCATTCCCTGTGTTTTTTCGGTTTCGTGCGTGGCTTTTTCGCCAAATGATCAAGGATGCTCCTCGATTGTCCTCGCCGATAGAAAAATGCACACGTCCGAGCGATGCCAGGCCAGCAAACACGAACACCATGTGAGGCACCCTCCCCGAACCGACCCCGATCTTATACCTCGGTCCGGCCGTAGCATCAACAAACCACTGAGGGGAAACAAGAGGACGAGAAAGAGGAGGCGGAGGAGGAAACGAAAGCGGGGGTCGCCTCTCTCCGCTTCCCCCTCCTCTCCTCTCCCGTCCGCCCACCTTCCCCCAGGACGGGAACGATGTCATGATAGGATTGGCTCAGGATCTGTTCCAAGTTTCCAGTACATCTAGCGGCTCTCGTGTCTGCAGCCCGTAGGGACACCGTGGAACATATCATTATCATGACCTCTGGTTCCTCCGACTCCCTCCTTCCCGCCTCTACTGCGTCCACATCCTCTCTCAGGGTTCTGTGGTACTCGTCGGCCGGCTTGGGCTTGTCCTCTGCCAGCAGCGAGCTGAGCAGATGATGCTGGATCACATCCTTGTCGGCAGACAAGACCCATTCCTCGATGGAATCGCAGCAATCGCATTACATTTCCCCCTCCCTTCCTTTTCATACTCGCCCCCTCCTCTCCTCCTCCTCCTCCTCCTCCTCCTCCTCCTCCAACTCCTCCTCCTCATCCGCAGACCCTCCTCTGCAAATTCACCTTTCGCTTCTTTCTGGATTCAAGACTTGTTCGCCTGAATCCCTGTTCGCCTGTTCCCGTTCGCCGGTATCCGTTCGCCAGAGTCCCTGTTCGCTGGGTCCTTCTTCGGCGGCTCCCGCTCGACAGTTCCGCGTTGGCCGGTCCCCATTCGCCAGGCCCTGTTCGCCCGTTCTCATTCGCTGGTCCCCGCTCGCTGGCCGCCGTTCGCGGGTCCCCGTTCGCCAGATTCCCCGTTCGCCAGTCCATGTTCGGTGGTCCGTGAGCGCGGGGAGGAAAAGAGGAGGAGCAGCAACGCGAGGAGCAGCAGGGGCACGGGAAGAAGAGGATGGGCAGGAGTGGTGTTCTCGCAACATCAGACAGACACGCAAACAGATGTCAATATCGAAAGCTTTGAGCGACTGAACGGGGGGGGGCGGCGCCACCGGCCTGGCCAGTCCTGTTTTCCCATGCGGGCATGGCGCCCGCTCGTACAGGCCCACCTGCGGTGACACCTGTGCTGGTCGAGCCACATCAGACAAAAACACAAACGTATTTCAACATGTGGGGAACTACTGCGACTATCCGCCGACCCCAGAGGCGTGTGCGACATCCCTCGTGCACAGACTACTCCTACGCGACAGGGATCTCGACGCCTCCCACCGCGCCCACACCACGCCCCAGCACCCCAACCTCACGAGAGCTCAGTTCTTGGGATCCCCCACCCCAACACTTACGGACACCCCCCACCGCGCCCCCACCGCGCCTACTACGCCCCCGCCGCGCCTGACACAGACAGCCTTTTGGCGTCCTGGGCTGAGGTTTTTAGGGGCCACCCGCCCTGTGAGAACGCCGCCGGCACCCCCCCCACCACGCCCCCGGCGCGCCTGACGACGCCAACCTCCTGGCGTCCTGCGCTTAGGTCTTTAAAGGCCGCCCGACCTGCATAAGCCTCGCCGGCACCTCCCGCCACGCCCCCACCGCGCCTGACACCGCCAGCCTCCTGGCGTCCTGGGCCCAGGTTCTTACGGGCCACCCACCCAGCAAAAACCTAGCCAGCACCTCCTGGCACGCCCCCGCCGCGCCTGACACCGCCAGAACCTCGCGGGCCCCCCCCAAACCCGCCCCCACCGCGCCTGACACCGCCACGCCATGGGCTTCAGGGTGCACCCACCCTACGCAAACCTCGCCGGCACCGCCCACCACGCCCCCACCGCGCCTGACACCGCCAGCCTTCTAGCGCCCTGGGCTTAGGCTCGTAAGGGCCACCCACCCTGCAAAAACCTCGCTGGCACCCGCCACCGCGCCCCCGCCGCGATTGGCAGCGCCAGCCTCCTGGCGTCCTGGGCTGAATAGGGGCCACCCGCCCTGCCAAAACCTCGCCAGCGCCCCACGCCACGCCCCCGGCGCGACTGACACCGCCAGCCTCCTGGCGTCCTGGGCTTAGGTTCCCATGGGCCACCCACCCTGCAAAAACCTCGCTGGCGCCCCCGCCACCCCGTCCCCACCGCGCCTGACACCGCAAACCTCCTGGCGCCCTGGGCTTAGGTTTTCAGGAGCCACCCGCCCTGCCAAAACCTCGCTGGCACCCCCCACCACGGCCCCACCGCGCCTGACACCGCCAGCCTCTTGGCGTCTTGGGCCTAAGTTCTGAAGGGCCGCCCTCCCTGTAAAAACCTCGCCGGCACCCCCCCCATCACGCCCCCGCCGCGCCTGACACCGCCAGCCTCCTGGCGTCCTGGGCTTAGGTTTATAGGGGCCACCCACCCTGCAAAAACCTCGACCTCGCTGGCGCCGCCCGCCACGCCCTCACCGCGCCTGACACCGCCCACCTCTTGGCGTCCTGGGTTCGGGTTCTCAAGGGCTGCCCGGTGTGCAAAAAACCCTACGGCGAACCCCCCAACGCCCCCCCGCCGCGGCTGACACCGCCAGCCTCCTGGCGTCCTGGGCGCAGGTTCTCACGACGGGCCACCCTGCAAAAACCTCGCCGGCACCCCCCGCCGCGCCCCCGCGGCGCCTGACACCGCCAGCCTCCAGGACTGGCCCGGGGCACCCACCCTGCGACAACCTCGCCGGCGCCCCCCCAACCGTGCCCCCGCCGCGCCTGACACCGCCAGCCTCCTGGCGTCCTGGGCTTAGCCTAAGCTCTAAAGGGCCCAGATTGGGGGGATGTCTCAGGCGGTTTGCCTGTTCGGGTGCTCAACAGCCTTCTCTTTCACAGAAGTTTCCGAGGATGTCTCAGGCGAGGCGCTGGTTGCTGCACTCCCAAGGGGAGCCACCAGGGGGTATCTCACGGGCCCGTTCGCGCCAAGCTTGGGGGGATGTCTCATGCGGTTTGCCTGTTTGGGTGCTCAACATCCTTCTCTTTCGGAGCAGTTTCCGAGGATCTTTCAGGGGAGGTGCTGGTTTCAGCACTCCCGAGGCGGGCTGCCAGGGGGTATCTCACGAGCCCGTTCTCGCCCAGATTGGGGGGATGTCTCAAGCAGCTTGTCCGTTTGAGTGCTCGGCGTCCTTCTCATTCGGAGCAGTTTCCGAGGATGTCTCAAGCGAGGCGCTGGTTTCAGCACTCCCAAGGGGGGGCCGCCAGGGGGTATCTCACGGGCCCGTTCGGGGCCGGATTGGGGCGATGTCTCAGGCGGTTTGCTTGTTTGGATACTCAACATCCTTCTCTTTCGGAGCAGTTTTCGGCGCCCTGATAGGTGTTCAGAGGAAAAGAAGGAGAAAGAGGAGGAGGACAATGAGGAGGAGGAGGAGGAGGAGGAGGAGGAGGAGGAGGAGGAGGAGGAGGAGGAGGAGGAAAGAAGGGGGCCACCCGCCCTGCAAAAACCTCGCTGGCACCCCCCACCGCGCCCCCACCGCGCCTGACACCGCCAGCCTCCTGGCGTCCTGGCGTCCTGCACCCTCCCAAAACCTCGCCGGCACCCCCCCCCACCGCGCCCCCACCGCGAGCCTCTTGGCGCCCTGGGCCTCGGTTCTCAGGGGCCACCCGCCCTGCAAAAACCTCGCCAGCACCTCCCCCCACCGCGCCTGACGCCGCCAGCCTCCTGGCGTCCAAGCCCTAGGATCTTAGGGGGCACCCACCCCGCCGCGCTCCCAACGCGCCTGATACTGCCAGACTCCTGGCACCCTGGGCCTCGCCTCCTAGGGGCCATCCACACTGCAAAAACGTCGCCGGCACCCCCCGCCGCGCCTGACACCGCCAGCCTCGTGGCGTCCTGGTGTTAAGGTTCCCAAAGGCCACCCACCCTGCAAAAACATCGCCGGCACCCCCGCCGCGCCTGACACCGCCAGCCTCCTGGCGCGCGGGGCATAGGTTTTCAAGGGCCACCCACCCTGCAGAAACCTTGCCTGCACCCCCACCACCGCGACCCCACCGCGCCTGACACCGTCAGCCTCCTGGCGTCCTGGGCTTCGGTTCCCATGGGCCACCCACTCTGCAAGAACCTCGCCGGCGCCCCCCGCCGCGCCCCGACCACGCCTGACACCGCCAGCCTCCTGGCGCCCTGGGCTTAGGTTCTAAGGGGACACCCACCCTGCGAAAACCTCGCCGGCGCCCCCCCCTCCACGCCCTCACCGCGCCCGAAACCGCCAGCCTCGTGGCGTCCCGGGCCAAGGTTCGTAAGGGCCACCCACCCTGCAAAAACCTCGCCAGCACCCCCCCCACCACGTCCCCACCGCGCCTGACACCGCCAGCCTCCTGGCGTCCTGGGCATAGGTTCTCAGGGGCCACCCACCTTGCAATCGCCAGCGCCTCCCTCCGCCGCGCCCCCGCCGCGCCTGACGCTGCCAACCTCCTGGCGTCCCCCTGGATTCTAGGGGCCACCCACCCTGCAAAAACATAGCCGGCACCCCCCCGCCACCGCGCTCCCACCGCGACTGACACCGCCAGCCTCCCGGCGTCATGGGCTTAAGTTTTCGCGGGCCACCCGCCCTGCAAAAACTTCGCCAGCGCCCCCCGCCACGCTCCCACCGCCACCCGTCTGGCGTCCGTCCTGGGCTCAGGCTCTCAGGGGCCACCCGCCCTGCAGAAACCTCGCCGGCGCCCCTCCCGCGACGTCCCCGCCGCGCCTGATACCGCCA